AAACGAGCAGAGTTTACCGTAAGTTGGATACAGATGTCTAGGTAATTATTCAATTCTGTATACAGTGGGATTTGAATCCTAGACCTCTTGCATGGCAGTCCGACAACCTAACCACTACACTAAGATCGCCGGACCTAATGTTTAGAATTAAAAAAAGAATATAATTATATAATTTTTATATTAATTACTAAAATATTTAAGGCTATAAACAGCTTGGATACTTTGGATACTTGGATGTTTGGATATTGGATATGTCCAAAAAAGCTTTGGACATGCCAAAATATACAACACTAGAAGAAGGTATGTACATACAGAATGATAAGTTATACACATAAGATAGAAGTTCAAGTAATATTACATGCACAGCACACATGCGATCTGATCTTCACATTAATTTCATGTGACCTGCTGTGTGGATAAGACTAATAAAGTGCTATATCGTTAAGTATGCTCTTAATTTAAACTGTGAAGCATGTGATCTTGCTATTCGTGAATGACGTAAAAGTAATATGACAGCAATACAAATTGTATGTAACTTGCTTGCCCCTACTAATGGTGCATCTAAAAATGAATTAAAAGAAGTATTAGATAATACAAAATTGGCATATAATGAAATAAAAATTCAGCATTTATTAGAGCATGATACTCATCGTTTTAGAGATAATATTAGTCCGTGGACTAGGCTTCATGAACTTGTTACTAATGAGTTAAAAAATAAAGAATTTGTTTTATATTTTTAGCAACCAGATTCTGAAGTACAAGATAATAATTATAAACATTATTATCAACTTACTTTAAGTGATGAAATATAGTTGTAGTAAGCTCAAGATTGTAGTTTATTTTGTTTTAGTATAGATAGAAAGTATGATTTAAATAATGACCATGCACTAATTTTAGTTCTTACAGTTGAGGATCAAGCTAGTTATAGTTCATCTATAGCAATTGGGTTTTCAAATAAAAAAAATCAATTTATAATTTGTATTGCTGTTGAGGCTGTTCAAAAAAATATACCATGTACTCAATCAGAATATTCATACTCTTTTTATTATATTGATTTGCCAAATAACAAAGGATTTCAATGTATTAGACAATGTAACTCTAATTGAAATTCATATGCAATAATAGATAAGTATTGGCCTTCAAAAGCTGCTTTAGAATCAATACTTTGAGATATAATTTTGTGTTAGTTTCATATAATGAAAACATTTGGAGAACATTTACAAAATTTAAAAGTAGAACAATCATTATGATATCCAATTGCAATTGCATTTAAAATTATAGAATGAAGTCGAAGCAAAAATGAGGCACTTAAACTAGCGAAAATGTATAATGAATTTATTCTAATGTTACCTTTAGAAGATCATATTAAAGAAAGTTTTCAAAAAGATTTATTATTAAATTGGATATGTGATGAATGGTATATGAGTTTTATAGATGGTGGACATCTTCCTTATAAAACTGATAATCCATATGCAAAACCTTTAACTACTAATAATTTTACTGAACGAATGAATAAATCATTAGAAAGTCAACATAGTAATGCTAAAACAGTAATAGACTTTGTTGAAAATCTTTATGGAATTCAAAAAGTACGTTCTACTTTATCTAAAGAGAATTCAGGGCAATTAACTTTTCATGCTAGTCTTGTAGCATATTGGAATGCACATACATTAGAGCATGAGAATGAAGAGCATTATTATGCAATTGATAAAAAATGAAGATTAAATCAAGGAAGACTTTATGTACTTTATGAATAGATTCAAGATATAAAAAATTCTGATTATTTTTATGTTAGAAAAGGAAATAATACATTTCATTCACCATATAATTTAATACCCATAAAACTTAATAACAAAATTCAATTAGAAATTAGTAAAATGGTTGAAAAACTTGTTTCAAAACATAATATAGAAATTTTATCTTAGTATTACTTAGTTAATATTCATTCAAGAGAATGTACATGTTTAGATTTTATTTAGAATGGATCTTTTTATGATATCTGTAAGCATTGTCATGCTGCTCAGCTTTTTAAATCAATTCAAAAAAAAACTGAAAGTTTAGAAACTATAAAATCAAGTTTTATTTAATATTTTCGGAATAAAGAAAAGGCACTCCTAGCAAATGCAAAAAACAATATTATTTATAATAGAGCAGAAGATGAAGAATTTCAAGAAATTATTAGACTTTATAATGAAGTAGAAGATGCTATATTTTATCCATATAAGTGGCAATTATCAGAAAATGATCCTTTTAGACTACTTGAATTATCTGAATGTAATACTATGATTTATAGATCTCCAAAAACACATAGAGCAAAACCATGAAAACCAAGTCGATTTGTAACTAATATAAATGAAAACATAGTATTTGACTATATTTAGTTTTTATTATTAATTTTATTACAAATATATCTAATAAATTTTTTAAATTATAAAGAAAACTAATACTCCAAATGAGCTTTCAACTACATTAGCACCAATAGTTGATATTGAATTACTTTCTGAAACATATCCAATATTAGCACCAACAGTCAATACTAAAACGAATCCAATATCAGCACTAATAATTGATTCTGTATTACTTTTTGAAACCTATTCAATATTAGAAAATTGTGAGAAAGATTTTAATCGATTAAATGAGCAACAAACTTAAAAAGAAATTTTACTTCTTCAAGGTCTGGTGATCTTAGTGTAGTGGTTAGGTTGCCAGACCGCTATGCAAGAGGTCTGGGGTTCAAATCCCACTGTCGACGAATTTG